ATAGTCCTGTCTTGTAACTCCCAAAAACATCAATCTAGAAAGGTCAGATTAGTAAGCGGAAGAACGTACTTGACACTCGGGCCACAATCGGTAAACGATATTCTTAACTTTGGCGACGACAATCTCCCTCACCCAGTGCTCCTCCGGCGTCGGGGATATGTAGGCCACAAAATCAAGGATTTCATCATGCAAGCTACGGAAAATGTAAAAAGACGACTAGAATTTACCCTAAAATTCCGGAACTGTACGTCTTGTGCTCCGGCTTCCAGACCGCATCTGCCTCAAAAATACCGGGGCGAGATTGCGGGTCCTTCTGCCTTGACCTACTTTCACACATCTGAATTCGTGTCTGATACGGCGCCGGACGAGCAATGGCATTATTCATGTCAAAATTTAAGGACGTTGGGGATTCAAAAATAGAAAAAAAGTGCTGGAGGGGCTAAAATTTTACATTAGCCCATGACGAAAATCAGTTTACCAAGGAAACTCCGGATCCAAAAGGATGCCCCAACGTGTGAATGTAAAAATTCCGCGAACGGAAATGGTAAAACAAAAACTATTCTAATGTACGCCACTAGTTTGAACTTGCATATTGCCTGTTATGCAGAGGTTACATGGCAATAAAATGCAGAATTTATATTTAATTTCTAATTGCAAGTGAAAAGAATGGAAAATGGGTTGTCTTTATCCAATCATTGTGGATGGTGAATATCTGCGGTGCGCATGACTTACCAATATTCAGTTCCCCAAGTTATATAGCCTCCTCTTTTAGCTGTCTGTCAGTCTTTCCCTTCGAAAAGAGAGTACAGAATAATCTGTGATAACTATTTGCTGGATGCGTTGTTAGAAAATGGGATAGCGTAGCGGAGAATTTCGCACTAGTAAGCCATAATTAATTGTCGACATTTATAATTTAAGTACTTCAGTCTCTGTGATGTATAGTCCTTATCCCTGTTTCATGGATAAGTATTTTTAGAGATACGACAACCTTCCTTTTCATGTCCTTTCCACCTTGACTTCGGCGCAGCTAAATTTCCATGTGCCTTTTACTTTCACCCAAATTTTCCTAGGACGAATGCCTAAGTTGATGTCAGATTGTAAGACAGTCTCCCTGTAGTTTAATGTGGCAGAGACTTGCCTGACCGAAAAAATAGAGATCAGCGAAGTCAGCATCGAATGGTACAATATTTCCGCTGCTGATTAAATTACCCTATTCTTCGGCATCGTGACTGCCAAGACAATCCCGCTGACTAACAGGTGTTCCGTCAAAGCACGGCAGGCTCCAGAGT